AAGAGCAGAGGCTCTTAACTTAATAAGAGAAAAAAATATTTTGCATTTTAATTTTGTGAATAACATGGACAACACAGTTATCAGCTCATTTTTCCTAGTGGCCAGGATTTGCAAGACTCACAGAGCAGAGTCACTTCTGGCATCAGCAATGTCCACCTCAGCCACCACAGAAAGAGCTCTGGCCCATGGATCCAAAGCAGCTCAGGCTCTCTCTGGACATGACACTATTTATGCACTTCCAAAATCAGCGTGGTCTGAAAAATTACAGGGATTTCCCCAACTTTCCTTCTTTCTTCCCCCTCTCTGGGGGCATGTTGCCTGGGTGATGGATCAAAACAAGTCCCCATAGCAAACATCACATGAACAAGCCCTTCTCTGGTAGGCAAGGAGCTCTAGAACAGGTGGCTATTGCTCTGTGGCTTGTGTCCTTGTAGTGCTGTGCAGTGTCACTGACTGAGACCCTCTGCCATTCACCTGGTTGAGAGCATCAGGGAAGAGACAGGCTGGGACCAGCAGATGTGATCTGATCCCACAGATGGGCTCAGGGATTCACCCACCCCAGTGGCACCCAGTCCATGCACACAGCAGTTGATAAAATACAAATAATTCTGAAAACTATTTCCTCTACTTCCACAGAGGATGAATGTAATTTAATTCAATTTTTGCTTTGCACAGTAATGGCAAGGCCATTTATGCAGTTATGTTGCTTTTCTTATCTAGTTCCCTTTTCAGCTGCTCCAAAGTCTTCCAGGTGTCACAGTCAGGTCATTAGTCTGCTACAGCAGCCATGGTGCCACCAGGGAAGAAGATCCAAACCCAAAGATGCTAAACAGATCTTTGTAGACTGCCAGGCTAACCCACTAATTACCTTGCTTTTTATTTGGGACACTGGCTACTCCCACAAAAGCTCTATTATTGGAGATAATACCTCCAGATAAAGCTCTGGAGGTCTCTCAGAAGGCAAGTCCATTCATCTAAATCAATTAAGATAACTGTGTGGTTGTGGCTCTGCTGCTTGAGTCAATTCAGGGAGAGAGGTTTAATAAAAGGTATGGTCTTCCCCTGCAATCTCTGAGCTTAATTTTAGTTATTGGACTCCTTAATTTCATGGGCTTTATCTCAGTGCTGTCACTGTTGCTCACAACTGGGCTGACACCTTGACATCAATACCTTGTTGTGGGGTCATTTTGCAGCTCTCCTTCACACATAAAGGGGGATGACAAAAGAACACATTTCCTTACCAACCTGCTGACAAAACCCCTTCAAGACCCTCTGAACGATAACTACAAGTGCTGCTAGAGATTTCTACTGTCCTTGTGGACACCAGACCTCAAGTCACTTCTCCTGTAATCCCTCGTGTGCAGACAGAGCAACAATGTCCTCTTTGTGAGATCACACAACCCTGCAGAAGGCCAGAAGGAGAAATTACAGCTCCTAGATTTGCACCAAAATGGTGAAACTCTGCAGGGGGTGTTAGATTTCAATCCCAATGCACTGCATCATCCCTTGGCTTTAGAAACAATCTTGTGGAAACCACTGCAACAGCGAGCTGGAGTAAAGCAAGAGATCTGCAAACATCACCAAGGGGCTGAGACATACAGTCAAGATGAAGCCACATTAGTATTTGCCCCTGCAAACGTGGAGGCCAAAATGCAAGTGCCTAAAGAAACAACAGCAGGAGCAATCGTTGCACTCTGAAATGGCCAGAACAAGAGCCTGAGAGAATTTATGAGATTGTAGGGTTATTGGAAAACTATGGAAAGCAGTATTTGGCTCTTAGCCCAGACTGCAAGGGGCTTAAAAATGCAGCTGGAATTAGCTTACAGCAAAAGCAGCAGGCCCAGGATGAGGAAAGTATTATTCTCAGTGAGATGTGCCTTGGGTCTGACCTCTTTTCATCACACGCCATGGGCCTTTCCGAAAACTAAAAGCATTTTACCATGATGGAAAAGGCAGGTGGTTCCTGCATATCTCTTTGCTCTCTTTTGCATCATCAGACACATTTGCTGGAAGGAGGAGAAGGAGCTGTCAGTGTTTTCCTCATTTCACCCCTTGGGCAGCCCAGACAAGGCTGCCTGCATGCAAGGAGCCAAGCAGACAGAAGAGGCCAAGCAGGAGGACAACGTGTCAGCGGTCACTTTGGGGTCACCTGCTCCATGGCCAGCTCAAGCACACCCTGCAGAAGAGACCCCTTGCTTGGAGTAGGATTACATGAGGCAAAGACACTCATCCATCATGGGATTTTCTCACTTTCTGGCTGAGCATCCCAGAGCTGCAAACACAAATTATCCATTGCATCTGCATGTGCTTCTAGCACCAAAGTCTCTCTTAAAGTGTCCACCCCAGAAATATATCAAGAGTAGGATTCCAAAAGACTTTCAGAATGTGGGATTTGTCTGTAAACAGAAAATTTCATAATTTCTTTGTTCCAAACCTCCTCTGGCCTGCTGCTTTGTAAGTTGTCCCTGCATGCAGCTGTTCCAACACCTGGAGGCAGGACCTTACCTATGAACTCCTGGGATGAGAGTTTCATCCCATCTGCGCTCTGCTTGGAATGTCTCAGCATTTCCACCTCTCCTCTCTGACTGCAAAAAACATCCATGATGTATTTTAAGCAACAATTTATGTGAGTACACAGCAGCTAGTGAGACCCCTGACTCCTCACTACAGTATGAGACAGCCCTTCCCTCTCTGTCCAAGCTCTTCCCAACCTGACATCATCATAGAACCCCACTTAGGATGTACCCAGGCTCCCAAACAGGTTCTTTTCCAAAACTCCAGGAGTAATGCTCTGAGTTCTGTTCACTGTCTGTGCCTGAACCTGGCACACAGCACAAATTTCAGCTTAGGAGCCAGCATGGGACAGCTCGGCCAAGCACAAACAGAAATTGTTCACACTGTGACAGGATGTGAGCAGACAGTGACAACTGGGAAAGCCACCACTACAGGTAAAAAGGCAGAGAGAGGAGGGAGATGTAAAGAGACCTGTACCTGGAAGAGCTGAGGAACAAATTCCTAATACTGCAGCAGCCAGAAATGTCCCCCCTTTCCCGGGGGGGGCACGCAGGCGCCGGGAGCCGGCACTCGGCTGGGCAAACACAGATGCAGGAGCTGAATGGGAGCACAGTCAGCCCCAGCTATTTTTAACTGGTGCAGAAGAAGCTTTTACTTTTCATTACGAGGGCTGGACAAAGTGTCCATCAGTTGTGCTGAATGTGTTCCCTGGATGGGTGGGGGTTGAAGCCCCCGGCCCCAGCAGTGGGAGCAGCAGCTCTAATCCCCCCCAGCCTGCTCACAGCTGCACGGGTCAAAGAGTGCAACAGCTGAAATGCACTTCTGATACATATCCTGAGGGCTGCCCCAGCTTACCCTGGGGGTTTCTGCCTGGTCATTTCCATTAAGGCTGACTGGTGAGATTCACTGCTGGCATAGACGAGCACCAGCCCATCAGGATCCCCCACATTTAGCTCAGCATGACGAAATAAACAGTGCACAGGCATCACCAGCAGACACTGGCAGTTGGATCTGGTGGCCTCCCCATGCCACTTTGCTCCCCTGGACAAAAATCTGTGGATTTGGCAGCAGCAGCACCTTTACTTGCCAAGCATGTTGCTTGTGGCACTGGGGAGCAGGGTTGGGAGGGAGGAGGCAGGGTTGGGACCAGGGCTCTCCACCACCTCCCCCTTCTTGCCTGGACAGGGTTACAGCTCTGCAATTTAATTGTAGGATAACTAATTTCCTCTTAAATATCAGTTTATGCTGCTGTCCCCACACATATATTTGAACAGCACCATTCCACACTCCCCCCCCCCAAAAATATCAGCAGCAAGAAAACACTTGCTCATGGGGCATCCCAAGGAGAAGAGCTGTGTCACTGGCCAGATGGCCACACAGCAGCTCAAACTTTGTATGCTGGCATTTGGCCAGGTGGTGAAAGGAAAAGGCTCAGCCAGCTACTGAGTTCCCTCCATCCATCTCCCAAGCAAGCCACTCACACATCTGCTGTCATACATAAACATCATGCCTCGGGTAAATCCACAGACGACACAAGCAATGACACCTGTCCTGTCCATCCTGACCTAGAAAGGTGCTTAAAATGTTCTCAGATAACAGGGGAAGCCACCAGCCTCACAAAACAAAGTTTAGCACTAAATCACTCCAAGTTCCACTTTCTCAAAAGTATATGCACATCCAGAACATGCACACACATGACAACATGTTGCTCATCTCTGCCAAATAAGCATTTGTTAAAATCCTGCATTTATTACACACACTACAATCCCATAAAGGGGCTCAGAAGCCACCAATAGTGGGCATCTTTGGATGTTCTTAAGGGAGGATTGCCTAGAGGGTGAACAGGTTTCTGTGGCCTTCCTTGAAAGGAGAAAGAGACATTTCACCTGTCTTGTTCAGAAGTAAGTGCTGGCATCCCTCAGAGGAACCCTGCCCTCATCACTCACATGAAATGTGCCCCTAAGAGTCTTTTTATCCCCAGCTGCTACAAAGGCAGCTCAGGGTGATTAGTTCAGTAGATGTTTATGCTGTTATGTGGAGTCAGGCAAGAATAATCCCTTACAGTCTGTCATGGTCCAGGCACTGCTCTCACTGCATGAGATGAACACAGAAGTTCAAAAGTAAAGATCTACTCCTGAGTATTTCAGATGAATTTTAAAAAAGAGGTCTAGAGATAGCAAACCCAGAAATTATCTGGGTGGGGGAGGACAAGATCACAAGTAATACTATTTTTAATCTATTGCTCATGAACAAGTTGATACCAAGCTTTGCTCAGGTCCATGGGAAGCTGAAGAAGTTAATACAGAGGTCAGCTTTGAAAACAGTTTAATATTTCCTCACCAGTGTGTTACTTTGCTAGTGATACCCAAGGAACAGGAAAATCAGGGACCTGCTGCTCTGCATTCATGTACACACGTTCACAAAGGACATGGGAATGCCTGTGCCCACTTTGAAAACAAGCACTGGAAAGCAAACAAATCCCTTACCCGGTTGTCCTCTTGAATCTCCCAGTCACTGGAGAAGCTCAGCACGTGCTGTGCCTGCGAGCAGTTGGAAAACTGGAAAAGGCTGGCAAACATTCTCCTGTTCTCCTGGGTGTCGGGGAAAATCGCCTCCTGGAAGTTGACTCCGTGTGGCAGCAGGATGTAGTTCTCATCCATCCTGGAACACAGATTGCAGGGGCAGCCCGCTGTGAGAACGAACTCCTGCAGGAGTCACCTGTCATACTTCAGCCTGGCTCAACAAAAAGTCACACAGACTTTTAGCCTGCAAGTAGCTCTCAGCTCTCCTGGCACCAAAATGACAATTCCCACCACAAGGACTGCATCAGGCAGCAGCAGTAAGGACCAAACTGCTCCTTCCACCCTGCAGACACCATGAAGGAGGCAGATCTGTATTTTGGGCCACAGTTTCTACTGAATTTGCATCACTTGAGCCCACAGTTTAAGTACTCCTTCAAGCAGTCAATAAATAACTTGTGTCCATAAAATGTGTTTAAAGATATTGCTGCAGACTAAGCCCTAGACAGCATCAAAATGAGTTTTGTCATGCACCCAGCCTAAGAATATACCAAGTATTTCAAAACAAGCCACTGAGTAGTATTTCGCAAATGCTCTCGAACTGAAAGGTCACAGAGATGGCTCTGTTCCCACATTGTGGTTTATTTTCTTATTCTTTCGATAAGCCCAAAGTCAGGGTCTGGCTGGGACTCGATGGAAAGCTATCGGTGAGTATTTGGGGATGGGTTTTAAACTCCCACGACAAACTTCGGCAAACGCGCTGGCCTCTCTCCAGCTCCGTGGCCGTCCTGCCGTAAAAACAAAAGCAGCAGCACCCACGAGCTACTCAACAGCAGCTCCCCGTGCATGTGCTGGAATACCACGGGAGTTTGGTGTTCCGGGCGTTCCTTTCCCTATGAAACTGCCCAAAGGAGCGGGCGGTGCGCGGAGAGCGGCACGGAGCGAACCCTGCGGGCAGGGACGGGCGCGCATCCCCCGCAGCCGGGACGCGACATCCCCACCCCTGCCCGGCCCCCCCAGCCCGGCACTCACCGCAGGAAGAAGAAGTAAGCGTAGCCCTGCATGACGGTGTGCGAGTGGCAGGAGAAGTAGCCGAGGCCGGTGAGGTTGAGGCGGGAGCCGGCGGGCACCTCCAGCATGCTGCCCCACGCCTGGTCGCACAGCAGCTCGATCTCGGCCGAGTAGAAGAGATCCCCCGCTCCGTGCTGGGCGCCGCCGGGGGGGCCCCTCTGCCAGGGCAGGTAGTTGTAGGCGCCGTAGGGGTCGGGGTGCAGCGCCAGCACCCGCGCGTACACGATGATCGCGGCCAGCTCGGCCCGGCAGCCCTCGCTGAGCGGCCGCCACTCGGCCGGGAGCTGGCAGCCACCCCCGGCACCCGCCCGGGCCCCCAGCACCAGCACCAGCCCCAGCACCGGCACCGGCAGCGACACCGGCAGCGACACCGGCAGCGGCATCGCGGGCGGCTCCGGGCCGGGCTCCGCGGGGCACGGACGGCCCGGAGGCTGCGGGCACCGGGGCTGGGCAGGAGCGCACGGAGGCGGCGAGGAGCGGATGCGGAGGGGTGGAGGGTGCCAGGGACAGAGCACGGAGGGCTGAGAGCCGGACAGGCAGGAATGAGAAGGGGCGAGGGGCAGGAGGTGTGCGGGAGCAGAGATGCGAAGGGGAGGGATGGGGAAAGGCAGAGATGCGAAGGGGGCAGAGAGGCAAAGGGGAGGGCTGTAAGCGAGAGAGGTGCAAAGGGGGAGGTGAAAAGGGAGGGATACAAAGGGGAGGGATGCGAAGGCAGAGTTGCAAAGAGGAGGAGTGCGAAGGGAAGAGGTGGACAGGACGGAGGCTGCAAAGAGGGGAGATGTAGAAGACCAGAGATGGGAAAGGCGGGCGCACTCCGGGGTGAGCACTTGGTGGCACCCAGGGCTTTGAATGGTGAAGGTGTGCCTCGTAGGGTTTTGGAAGTGCAAGGGTCCCAGTGGAGCAGGGGGCTGTGCACAGCTCCCCCGGGAAAGAAAATCCTGAGAAACTTAAAATGTGTTTGTGTAGAAACTTGTAACTCTAGTCATCCACTTCTCCCACTTCAAATGAGGCTGGAGAAAAACTTGCAAGTGGAGGAGAGCAGCCTGCAATCATTTTCCAAAATACATCTGGTGAGCAAAGTAAAAGTAAAAAGCCAGGTCTCAATGTATTTTGACTTCCCACTGCTTCATCCTAGAGCAGTCTGATGCAGCTTTTTGGCAGATAGCTCAAAGACTGACCCTCTCCCCACATACAAACTGCTGTGAGCTTCTCCCAAGGATCCCTGGGGACCTTGCACCACTCACAGCCTCTTTCTATTTCAGTGTTCTCCTTTTCCCACATCTGATCTCACTTGGAATAATAGTCAGGAATGGGCATGGGACACTTAAAATCTTCTGGAAGTTTTTTTTTTGTATGAATTTCATGGAGAGACAGTCACAGCTAAATCTCTCCCTGGCTGTAAAGGTTACTCAAAATCTGGCAGCATGTCCTGGCTGGTTCCTTTAATCTCACTCTCCATCTGTCTCCATCTGCCTCTCCAGTCCTCTGCAAGGACTTGGAGCTCCTGGAAGCAGAAGGTGCCTCATTGTTCCATGTTCATGCTGCTCCTGGTAAAGGAGGGTCCTTGTGCGGGATTGGGGTTCAAAATAATGTGCAAAGTAATGAATCAACAGTTAAATAATGCTGAGTCAACTTCATGACAGTGAGACAAAATTGTTTCAGTGACAAGAGTCTTCCTCTGGAATAGTTTCATCAGTCTCATCTGTGTGCTGAAAAGTTTAACAAAGTAGTATTCATATTTCATGATGGCAAGATGCTACAATATATTTCACCACAGCTTTATGCATGAACAGCAAAGTTGGTTCTTGCTAAAAGATAAACAGCTTTTGATTTTTTTTCCCTAAAAGAAATTTCAGAATGACAGGGTTTTCTATTCTTTCTCGTGTTTCTTGAAGACCAACAAATTGCTTCCAACTTTCAGGGAAAAAAGTTTTAAAGACAATTTTGCATTTTTTTAAAAGAAAATACCTTCAAGAAACCCCAAAAGAGCAACCAGCTCAGTATTTCTTGATGTTAACCATTAGGAAAAACTGCTTTTTGCTTTGGAACCTGAAGGGACAAAACTGTGGTAGATTTCAGAGCCCCTTTCAGTAGGTTTTAGATAAATAAATAAAAAATAAAGAGTAAAACAAAGAATTGAGGCTGATGTTGGCTTCAGATAAAGCTGAGGCAGTTTTGGAGGCATTTTGTGCAATCTGGTGTAAATGGACTCTTTGATATGAACCTCAGGTTTGTATAAGAAATGATATCTTGGGATACTGGCAAAGAATAAAGAGAGAAGCTGCAAGTGGTGGGAGAGATGTTCAGTTCATGCAGGGTGGTGTGTCCATGTCTGTCCATGTCTTTCCAAGTGGTTTGACCAGTGTCAGAGCCTGGCAGCTTCACCCACACAAATCTTGTGTTCAGTGTGGGCAGCAACATGCTGCTTTATAGTGTTTTATTACTTGAGTGCCACTTGTCTGGAGGCAGAGCCCCAAGAAGCTGAAGAGATGTTTGTAACCACAGGTTGGTTGGTTTTGTCCTGGGAACCAAATTCTTAGCTTGTGTGAAATGCAGTTGCTGTTTCCTCTGTGTATACATACAAGATTGATATCTTCTGGGTAAAAAAGCCTCACATTTAACATTCATCTCTGCTTACTGTGTGTTGCAAGTAAATAATGGTCATCTGTCCTCAAACTGCTTTGGACATGTCTGATCTAAGCTGTGATCTGTTCTGCTGTTCCTCACATTTCCTTTAGCCACCACAAAACATAACATAATTTAGCTGGGAGGGAGGACAGGGTGAGAAAAGACAGGCAGCTCAAAAGCAAAATGTGGAAGTCTCTCCTTAATGCTACTATTAATAACCTAAAGTGCTTATATTTGATCAGGGGTGCTGGAATCAGTGAGCCAGCTCAGAAAACACAACTGCATTTGCTGGCATACTCTGGTGCTGGCTGATGCTCTCCAAATTGCTGTTTCGTGGTGATTACCAGACTGTGGATGCAAATAATTCATGCTCTGTGGAATTTCTCTGTCATTCTGCAGAGTGGTCGTGTCAGCATTTTAAGGATAGAGCAGGCACTCATGGAGTTGATTTTAGAGCTGAATGGGCTGAAGGGGGGTCTTAGCCATAACCCTGGAGCAGACACAGAAGATGTGCAAACTACACATAAAAATATTTCTCGTTTGGAAGTGCCTGATTTCCTTGGTCTCTTCCATCCATGTTTGCTGGTGTTGTGCCCACTGTCACTGTAAGGACTTGGGGTGGCTCCTTTTCTCCTTTGCCCTCTGTGACATGTCCCCAGCTGAGACCTCTCCCTGTCAGGAGTCTCTCTGGAGATTTATCAGTGTGTAACCTTTCCTTCCCATACCAATAAGCTGATCCCTTTGCTGTTTCAATTAAGTAGCAACTCAGATGGGTACTTTGGTAAAGAGTTCAAACCACCTACATGCAGTGATTAATGTGATTTTGTTCTTAAATTTCTCTCCATAGAAGCACCATCAATTTTCTTCTCCCTTCCTTCATTTCTGAGGTAGTGAAAAGTAACAGGAGCATCTGAATCCGTTCCAGGAGTCCTTTCTCTTCCAGCTCTAGATAACGAGGAATTAGTGACATGAAGTAAGGATTTAAAGCCCTCCCTGGAGGCTGCATCCTTCAGATCTGTGTTTGCTGTTTCTCTGCAGGGATCCACTGGCTGATCTGAGACGTTCCTCAGTGCTGTGTGAATACTTTTGTGCTGTGAACTCAGCGTGGGTCTGACAAGTGCTGTAGCCAAAACCAGCTAATCAGAGGAGCACCAATAGAGCCAATTACTGCTCAGGCTGCACTTTCAGCCACTCATGCATGTGCCACAGTTATTCATTCACTTCCTCTGCTTAGATAGTCTGTAGACTTTGAGACAGGCTCATGATTTTCCCAGGCAGGAGCTCTCCCCTTTTTTTCCCACATTTTTACAGATATTTAAATCAAAGATTTCTCCCTCTGGGCTATGTAATTTTCTCTGCTGTTTCTGTGGCAATGCAGGTGATTGAAACCTTTTAATAAAACATTGCTCTGCTCTGTCTCTCTTTGCCCCTAAAGTATTGACTGAGTTGAGCATTAGTCCAGGTATCCAACAGGAGAGCACAGTGCTCGGTCTGGCTGCCTTTCTGATGGGTGTAGGTGATCTGAGACCTCAGCCCAGCTGTCTTTTATTTATATATCTGCAGTGATTCCTTTGTAGTCCAGGGTACAAAATATCAAACCCAGATTTTTTTCTCCCTGTACACAGCTCTGTAAACTGGGTGACCTACAAAGATGAGTATTTGGCCGTGCTAGCATCCCCACAGGAAGAGATGTTTTTGTTAGCTTCTTCTATCTATGCTTCTCTAATTTGAGTCATTCTTCTCATAGTTTGACATTTGATCCATTATATTTAACTATTTTGTACCAATACTGGGCTGGCTGATTCCTATTAAAAAAAAATAAATCACATTTCCTGTCCATAGCTATTAATGTTTTTTCTTTTGAAGAGTAATCATGACCATGAAGAAACTGGACCTGTCTTTTGGGATCAGCTGGGAATATTTGTCTCAAAGAATTTGGAAATATTTATTTTATGCACAGCAGTAAAAAGACTTTCTGTAATATCAATTAGAATTTGAATTAAAAAGTGAGTAGAAGGATCAGGTAGTTGGTATGGATGGAGATCTTTGGCTACACCTTCACTGTATCTTTCTGCCCTTTCTTGTCCTCTTTGGCCTTTACCCTTTCCTCTTTCCATCTTCACAGAATCATAGAATGGGTTGAGTTGGAAGGGACCTTGAAGATTCCCAAGTTCCAACCCCTCCGTCATGGGCAGGGACACCTTACATTAGACCAGGCTGCTGAAAGTCCCATCCAACCTGATGTGAATACTTCCAGGGATGGGGCATCCACAACAACCTGTGCCAGTGCCTCATCACCTCTCAGTGAAGAGTTTCTTCCTAATATCTAATATAAACCCACTCAGTTTGAAACCAATCCTCCTTCTCCATTCTGCCCTCACTGTGGTCACTGAGTCCTGCTTTCCTTTCCCTCTGCCCTGATCTCTGACAATTCAATTCAAATTGAATTCAAATTCAAATTCTCTCACTAATTCAAATGCAGTTTTTCCTTTGGATCTGGGCCTCTGTCCTGTTAGCTGTGTTCTCCTACTGAAACTCCCATCTCAGCCTGGCTCCCTGACACCTGGGGACAACTGGTCCTCATCTCAGACCCCTCGTGTCTGAAGGGGAACTGTTTTTCTCTTATCCATCACTTGCACTTACAACCTGGATGACATCCTCACTTTAGACTGGAGAATAGAGACCTCTCTATTCTCAGGGTTGTGTCAACACTTTCCCTGCAGCCCGGTATCCCAGATGTTCTCCCTTTCCTGCC